ATCTCACTCATATATGGAATTTAAGAAACAAAACAAATGAACAAAAGAAAAAAAGAAAGAGACAAACCAAGAAACAGACTTTTTTAAAAAAATTTTTAACGTTTATTTATTATTAAGAGACAGACACAGAGTGTGAGCAGGGGAGGGGTAGAGAGAGGGGAGACACAGAATCTGAAGTAGGCTCCAGGCCCTGAACTGTCAGCACAGAGCCTGACGCGGGGTTCGAGCTCACGAACTGTGAGATCATGACCTGAGCGGAAGTCGGTCGCCTAACCAACTGAGCCACCCAGGCACTTAAGTATAGAGAACAAACTGATGTTCTTAAGTATAGAGAACAAACTGATGGTTACCAAAGGGGAGGTGGGTGTGGGTGTGAGTGAAATAGGTGATGGAGATTAAGGAGTGAACTTGTTGTGATGAGCACTGAGTAATGTATAGAAGTGTTGAATCACTCTGTGTCTCCCTCTCTCTCTGCCCCTCCCCCGTTCATGCTCTGTCTCTCTCTGTCCCAAAAATAAATAAAAACGTTGAAAAAAAAATTAAAAAAAAAAAAAGAAGTGTTGAATCACTATATTGTACTCCTGAAACTAATATAACACTGCATGTTAACTATACTGAAATTAAAATAAAGAACTCAATTAAAAATCAATTAGTAATCATCAAGAGACAAAAAGATGATTTATGACACAGTCACACAGTGATATGGGAAAACACATACTACTAACAAGACACACAGTGATAAAATATATATGAAAAGTATATATAGAAAAAAAAAACCCAACAACCTCAAGGTAGCTTCTCAAGCTGAGCTCAACCCCATCCCAGGGCTTTTGTGTTTGCTGCTCCTTGTCTGGTGTTCTTCCCTCGGGCTGTCCTCTTATCTCTCAGATCCTTGTTCAAATATTGTCCTCTCAGAGACTACGGTCCTGTCTTCCACTTTCTCTTTCCTCTTTCCACTGCTGCTAATGTAACCACCTTCACTCACTCTCTTTCAATTGTGCAGTTTTCTTTTTTTAAGTTTATTTATTTTGAGAGAGACAGAGACAGCGCCAATGGGGGAGGGACAGGAGGGAGACAGAGAAAAACACGCAGTCTCTGCACTACCAGCAAAGAGCCTAATGCAGGGCTCAATCCCATGAAACCACGAGATCATGACCTGAGCCGAAACCAAGAGTTTGATGCTTAACTGACTGAGCCACCCAGGTGCCCCTATAGTGCTAATTTCTTTATAGCATTTGGCACCATCTGAAATTGTTTAAGATTTAGAGTCTGCTGGGGCGCCTGGGTGGCGCAGTCGGTTGAGCGTCCGACTTCAGCCAGGTCACGATCTCGCGGTCCGTGAGTTCGAGCCCCGCGTCAGGCTCTGGGCTGATGGCTCAGAGCCTGGAGCCTGTTTCCGATTCTGTGTCTCCCTCTCTCTCTGCCCCTCCCCCATTCATGCTCTGTCTCTCTCTGTCCCAAAAATAAATAAACGTTGAAAAAAAAATTAAAAAAAAAAAGATTTAGAGTCTGTGTCCCACATACACAACAGAATGTAAGTTCCAAGAGAGCAGGAACTTTGCTTTGGGTATGCTATCCTTTCAGTGCCTACCACAAAAGATACTTGATTAATATTTGTGTAATGAATAAGGAATAAACAAATAACAGTATAACTCTAACTAACATCTGCAGGGAAAAGATGAAGCTTGGGAGGTAGAAGGGGCCAGGAGGCAAATGCTTTAAATACCAGGTGAAGGAATTTAGGTTTGGTTTTTAAAGGCTGAGAAGTCCCTGACGGTTCCTTAGGCCAAGGAAACAACTCTATCAGATCTACAGTTTAGGAAACCAAATTTCAGTGCCATGCAGGAAGGTATGGAAGGGGACAGATGTGAGATGAGACCAAACAGGACCTGCCTTCAATGGTCCAGGTAAAAGAAGACAGAACCTCAACTGAGGGCAGAGAGCAGGAGGACACATTCAAAAAACATTCAGAGGCAGTGGGTGTAGTTGGCAGATATGAGCAGACAAAAAGTAAACAAGAGCCAAAGGTCAAAAGAAATACACAAAACCATTTCTGACAAACATTTATCAGGTGCTAATGAACACCTCGTGCTTTTCAGAAAGATAAATACATCAGAAAAGTGTCTTCTAAGTCTGGCTGATGTTCTTCTCTCGAAGGTATTGTGGGTAACAACTAGTGTTCCTTGGTGTCTGAAACACCTGAGCCTAAGGCTCCAATAACCAAATCCAAAAAGAGTTATAGTGGCTTTAGTGCTTGTATATCAGACATGTGGTTAGACCAGAATCACATTAACAGGGCTCCAAGGCTATCGAGTTTCAGGCTTCCTGTGAAGGAAGAGGACCTGACTGAACACAAATGAATCACAAATGCCAGGAAAGTGAGCAGAAGGAAGAAGGTACTACCAGAGACTACTGGCGTACGTTATGAGCTTCCTCTAATATTCAAATGGTGAAATAGCAAACTACACTTCAGCAGAGTTGATGTATGGCCCCACAATATGTGGTACTCTATATATGTCTATGTGAATGGTGTTCCCTAGGGTTGTGCAGGGTATATCCATACACAGTAGCCCTGAGTGCCTGGTCACACATATTGAAGAGTTGAATGAATGAGTGAATCAAAATCAAATTATATAGGAGATATATAGGAGAATCATAGTATAACAAGATTACAGGTGTGACTCATGGATCCAATCAACCATCTCAAGAAACTGCCAACTTAGACTGAAGGGGACAGAGATAGGATGAAATGAAGGAAGGTTTTCAGACCTCTGGGAGTCTATAGGATAGGCCAAAAGAGCTATCAAGCTGCAAATAATGAGGTGTTATTGTTTCCATAGCCAGGATTCATGGGCACTGAATTCAAAGTTAAAATTGCCACCCGACCACTTTGGCCTCCCCATGCCTCTAAATCAACAAGCAACGAAGGGAGTTACTGTGTTGGCTGGGGTGATCCCAATTACCAAGGGTAAATTGAACTGCTATTCCACAATGGAAGTAAAGAAGACTATATCTGGAAAACAGGAGATCCCTTAGGGCAGGTCTTAAGTATTACCATGCCCTGTGATTAAGGTCGATGGAAAACTACAACAGCCCAATCCAGGCAGGACTACTAATGGCCCAGACCCTCAGGAATGAAGGTTTGGGTTACCCCACCAGGTAAAGAACCACATCCAGCTAAAGTGCTTGCTGAGGGCAAAGGGAATATGGAATGAGGAATGAAAGAAGGTAGTTATAAATACCAGCTATGACCACATGACCAGTTACAGAATGAATATTGTAATTGTCATGAATATTCTTTATTTTGTTATAAATATGTGTGTATCTTTGTTTTCTTCCCTCTCTTATCCTCTTGTCATGTAACATGAGACATGATGACTTTATATCATGGCTTTTGAGAATGGTTAGCTTTATATCAGAGTATTTAAGTAACAGGATATCAAGAAGAAGAGTAAATATCATCCAAGAACTCTGCTTCCTCTTCTGGGAAAAGGGTTAGTGTATTTTCAGTGGTACACTAGATAGTTGTATAGTATTAGGCAGGAATATGGCCTTGTTATTATCTTTCTACAGATCTTAAGCATGGTTTAAGGAGATGCATGAGTGGGTACCAAGTTGACAAAGAGGGGACATGTTATAGCTAATGTTTATAAGTCGAATGGATTAAGGGATACCCAGATATTTAGTCAAATGTTATTTTGCATATTTCTGTGAACGTGTTTTTTGGATGAGGATGATATTTAAATTGGTAGACTTTGAGTACAGCAGATTATTCTCCATAATGTTAGTGGGCTTCATCAAATCAGTTGAAGGCCTTAATAGAAAAAGGCTGAGTTCCTCTGTGGAATTCCGCCAGCAGACTGCCTTGACCTCAAACTGCAGCTCTTTCCTGAGCCTCCAGCTTTCCAGGCTCCCCCATCAGAATGTGGACTTGCCAAGACACCACAATCACATGAGCCAATTCCTTAAATGTATCTCCATATGTCTCCTCCCTCTACCTTTCTCATCCTGTTGCTTCTGGTTCTCTGGAGAACCCTTATACAATAGCTTTGGCCTATATGGGTTCTTCCCATTCTGGACTTTATACACACACACACACACACACACACACACACACACACACTTAAATATATTTATGTCTCATATAAATATATTTATATATGTTTAATTTATATACAAGTTATTATTTCTATGTTTAAGTATATATTTGTATATATAATCTCTATATAATCTTGCCATTGTTCTTTTTATTTTTTAGACAAACAACCCAATTTTTTTAAGTTTATTTATTTATTTTGAGAGAGAGAGAGTGCACAGGAGGGGCAGAGAGAGAGAGAGAGAGAGAGAGAGAGAGAGAGAATACCAAGCAGACTCTGTACTGTGACAGTGCAGGGTCCAATGTGGGGCTCGATCTCACAATCGTGAGACCATGACCAGGGCCAAAATCAAATCAGATGCTTAACTGACTGAGCCACCCAGGCACCGCTTGCTATTGTTCTTAAGTTGTACTACATTTAAATCTTTTCTTCCTAATTAGACAAGAATTTGTTTCAGGACCAAGATCACAGCTGAAAACCCTTTGTCTTCTCCCCTCATCAATTCACAGCACTTCTTAGGTGCTCAAAATAAGTTTGCTGAATCGAACTGAGAAACATGAAGGATACTATACTAGAACTACCTAGGCTCTTAGAGAGAGAGAGAATTCTTCCCTAGGAAGCAGAGAAAAACTTTGTTGATTGTACGAAGGTTTCTGCATGGGAAATTAATTACTGGGAATTTTAAGTCCTCCCAATATGCCTAGCCTTAGCCCTCCAGCTCCTCCTAGGGAACAATTTGGCTTGGTAACTCATTACTGGTAACCTCGTGGCTATTTATATATAAATCCGTTTTACTTTTGCATCATTTGTGCACCCCAATTCTAAGGGAGGACACTGTTTCTGACTACCCAAGCATTGCCCCATCACTCTCAAATAAAATCTTTCCGTTGCCAGGCCACTTACATCATACTTTCAGGTTCTACTGCACAAGCACCAACTGCTTTTGTGACATTGACAAGAAGAGCTTGGTTTACTCCAACGAGGAGGTTCACGAGTGGTGGAATGCCACCACATTTCCGGACAAGGACGCGATTTTCATAGTCCTGACAACATTCTCCCAATGCACCAACCACATTCACAAGTACCTCTTCGGGCTGGTCAGTTAAAAGTCCCACCAAAGTTTCAATGGCTTTGTATTCCCGAAACCTAAATTCATCAAGAGAAGAAGAGGTGGGGGGGGGGGGAGGGGAGGAGAAACAGTATTACTTTTGGTATAATTAGCTAATAACATTAAGAGCCCAAAATTACTAAATGCCAACTACATGCTCATACGGTCTATACAAAAACTCTATGATGCAGATACTACCATAATCCCCATTTTCAGAAAGCTAATTCAAAGCCTGGTAAATAGTGAAGCTGGTTTCCACTTCCAGCCATCCGTGCCATTAATCACTATACTGTATGGTCTCTAAGACAACTACCAACTTCTTCCAAATCAGAGTGTCAGCAATTCTACTATGCTATGGGTGTCTGCCCCATGTCACAGAGACTGTTTTACATGAACAAAGCAAAATAAACCTATCTTGTGTTAAATAAGACATGTGAATTTCTTGTTAAAATCATCACAATGAGACAAGGAAGGTTGCCTCAGAATATCCACCACAGAGTGTGAGAACCCTAAAAATATATGAAGAGACAAATCTGAAGATTAAATCAGTTATAAAGTTTACAAATACTTTAAAATTCAATGAAATTATCTGACAGTGGCTACACAGCCCTTGAGCTGGCATTTAGCTGACTCATCTTGTTTAACTTTAGAAAAGCAAAAAGAATGGAACCACTTCCATCTCTAAAGATTCAGTGGGAATTCATTCCCTCACCTTGATAGGTCTCTGCAGGAGATCAGAGGTACTTGTCATTTAAATGGCTGCCCACAAGCAAAAGAGCCCATTCACACAGATAAGATTATGTCAGCACATCCCTTAGCTTTACTAAGTGAGGCACAGAAAACCACAGCCAGGTGGTGGGATAGGAAGTAGAAGTCTTTCATTTCTAAAAATCCTTAATACTGCCAAATTAGTCTAGAACATAAATATATGGAAACTATACGAGTAGCATTATAATTGATTCTTTATTAAAATAACATTACGGGAATGTGTTTCAATGGGCATATTTTTTATGCATCTATACTTTTATTTAGAAACATTTATATCTTAATGAAAGATGTTTTAGTTGAAAGTTAAGAATACAGCTATTCCTCGATGGCCATATTTTTATTACAGAATATTGAATGTCTTCTCTTACTTGGTCACATTCTCTTTGCTGATGGAACATTTCCATATTGCCCCAGTGACAGCAGCCAACCGTTCTTTATTGTCCGTGTTATCGAGCAGACTGGCCAGGCGTTTAAGACCTCCGTGCAGTCTAACGAGATCACGGGTTTCCTTATCCTCAGCACACTACACACAAAAATCAAATCAGAGGCTCTCAGCGATCAAAGCATATCAAGCTTTCTGTAATTGCTAAAGAGGCTGCCATTTTAGTGGCGGTGAAACTTCTTTTCAAAGAGTATCATTTTCTGAAGGGGCCTCCAAGTAAAATCTAATTCTTCTCTGTACTGGCAGCTATCTGACATGGTCTCTTTTCCCTTACATAATTTTGGCCGCGTCTAGCAGTTTCTACATACTTAGAAATGCTGCCAAGCCAATTCTGAGGTAACCTGGGCTTCCACCAAGACAGAAACAGAGATTGGTTGGTTAGAAACCTAGAACACCACATGCGTGGACAGAGGATTTCTGCAGTGATGCAACACACAGTCTTGGGAAAATGTAGCAGAGAAAACACGAGTGATACGGATTTAGTCAGAACTTCAATGACCCCCAAAATCTAGGAGATGAGCATTTCCTCAATAGAGTTTCTATGCCCAGAGCAGTAAGTTATAGCAATAGCAACTGACATTATATTCACATATGTTTATCCACATGTTTGTGTCATCCTTTGAAATAAATACGTACTACATAGATGTTCCCAGCTGATCGTCCTTCCCAGGTTAAAGAGCAAAAAGATGATAAATTTAGTATAGATATGCTATCATCCTAAGTATACAGTTGGTCTCTGAGGCCATATGATACAGATGCATGTCATGGATCATCCATGAGGGCCACTAGAAGAAATCCTCATTGTAATGCACCACAAGGCACCTGTCAGGCTTTTCTTCTATTTATGACTTTTGCTTCTGGTTCAGTTCCAGCTTTAGAAAAAATAATCACTATTTCTAACCAATCATTCATAGTTACTCAGATAAGGCTTATATACGCAAGTCAAGGCTATATATCCTTGTTTTGAACTGAGTTGTGTTCCCTCGAGCTCACATATGTCAAAGTCCTAACCCCCGTACCTCAGAATGTAAGTTAAGGTCTTTAAAGAGGTAATGAAGGATAAATAAGGCCACTGAGGTGGGCTCTAATCCAATGTGACTGATGTCATAAAATATAAGGACACAGAGGAAGGAACATGTGGAGACACAGGAAGAATGGTATGTGAACATGAAGACAGCCACCTATAAGCCAAGGAGAGAGTCCTCAGAAAGCACCAATGCTGCGGACACCTTGATCGCAAACTTCTAGCCTCCAGAACTATAAGGTAATAAATATCTGTTATTTAACAGGCCACCATATGGTATTTTGTTTTGGTATTTTGTTTTGTTCTAGCAAACTAATACCATCCTCTACTGACATGAACCCCTTTTTCTGACTCTGACTTTTTGGCATACTCTTACTGTGCACATTTTATTATCAATCTACCTACCTACCTACCTACCTACCTATCTTTACATGTTTATTTTTGAGAGAGAAAGTACAAGTGTGGAAGGGCAGAGAGAGACAGGGAGATGCAGAGTCCAAAACAGGCTCCTGGCTCTGAGCTATCAGTGCAGAGCCCAATGTGGGGCTCAAACCCACAAACTGTGAGATCGTGACCTGAACGGAAGTTGGACACTTAACCGACTGAGCCACCCAGGTGCCCCAATATGCACATTTTAAATGCATTCCTCTAGGAAATGGACTCTGATTTCTCGGATAGGTAGAAGCTGGCATGGCCAGCAACCAGCCATCTACTAATTTTTCAAAGCCATCTTTACTTCTAATCTGTTTTCTGGTATACTATAAAATGTATAGCTCACAAAAAGTTAACAAAGGTTAAAGTAAATTAATAAACAGATAAAACAGGAATACACACACACACACACACACACACGCAAGCTCACACTCATTCATCCATCCATTTTGTCTTGGTAGAAGATAAATTTCTCAACTACTATGTTTGAATAGGGTGCCTGTAAAGCAATGTAAAGGCACCACGTATATATTTTCCTATTTTACACTAAGTAATTTGTTTTAAGAGAGAAAGACATGTAAGTGCCTTCTAGAAATGTAAATAATCAAGACATGTTGGTGCAGGTTTCTCTCTCACATATACAGGCCATCTGTCATTAGCACAGGACAGTGGTTCTCAGACCTATGTGTACAGGAAAATCCCTAAAGTGTTCTTGTTAAAAATGCTGATTCCTGAGTCCTGCCACCAGAGAATGAGAACCCATGTTTAGAAACACCACCTTAACTACATGGAGAAGAAGACCACAGCTGCCCACAGAGTCCCCCGCACCTGGTAGATGGCCATGGCACAGTGTTCCTGCAATTGTTCGTTCTCACTATTTAGGTTCTTCACCAGATTTTCAATGATCCTTTCTGCTTTGATCGCAGCTCGGTAGTTTTCCTAGGAACACAAATTTAAATATTTATGTGTGTAAGACACGAATATTAAGTACCTATCTATACTTACTAATAATTATGCCAAACAAACTTTCTTAATAAACACTAAAGTCCAAGGCTAACACAACTATATAAGAAGAGAATTTAGTCAACATTTTCAAAAATACATCACACGGGTACCAATTTAATTAATGTTCTGTTAGTTTCATCTTCTTTAATAGACTGTTGACTTCTCAAAAAAAATCCTTAGCAGTCATGATAACCTTGAAAATTATTTTTCAACTAAAGAAAGTCAAAGTATATGAAAGCAAGGGAAGCAGAGCTGGCTTGAGTACCTCTGATGCACATTCTTGCAATGTCCCTACCACTGGAATTAGCATGTTTTCATGAGACGTCTTCAGTAAGCGAGCCAACAAAGGAATGCCCCCAGCTTTACGAATGGCTTCTTTATTTGTGTAACTCTTACTGCAGCTCCACAATGCCAGAGCCCCACAGCGAGCCACTTCCACGTCTCTGGCATCATACAGACTCGATTGAGCCAGTTCTGCTGAACTCTTTCCACAGTCGAGTAGAGCGACCTACAAGAATAGGTGAATATGATGTACATGGGAATCTTTAAAATAAAACAACATATCCCTCAATAGCTACAGGGTTGCTACCAAGATAATCTCCATCAAAAATAAGAATCCTGGGGCGCCTGGGTGGCGCAGTCGGTTAAGCGTCCGACTTCAGCCAGGTCACGATCTCGCGGTCCGTGAGTTCGAGCCCCGCGTCAGGCTCTGGGCTGATGGCTCAGAGCCTGGAGCCTGTTTCCAATTCTGTGTCTCCCTCTCTCTCTGCCCCTCCCCCGTTCATGCTCTGTCTCTCTCTGTCCCAAAAATAAATAAACTTTAAAAAAAAAAAAAAAAAAAGAATCCTTTACTGGGCACTTGGGTAGTTCAGTTAAGTTTCAGACTCTTGATTTCAGCTTATGTCATGATCTCACAGTTCATGAGTTCGAGCCCCACATTGGGCTCTGTGCTGACAGTTCAGAGCTGCTTGAGATTCTCTCTTTGCCCCTCCCCCTCTCATGTGTGTATGCTCTCTCTCAAAATAAAATAAACTTAAAAAAACAATAAGAATACTTATACAAATTAACTTTCATACTACACATGAAAAACAAAGAAACAAAACCCTTCAAAACATCTTCCTCCAAATTTGGGAGTGTTTACATTTCCTTTCTATAAGAAATTTAATCTCACCAAGATTGTATTTTCTTAACATAGCTATAATATATGCATTAGGAAGATTTGTAAACTACATCCTCAGTCCTGGTATCTCAGAAAACTAGAGTCTCTAAAGCCATTAGAACTTTCTGTGAGATGGGGCGCCTGGGTGGCTCAGTTGGTTAAGCTGCCGACTTCGGCTCAGGTCATGATCTCGCGGTCCGTGAGTTCAAGCCCCGCGTCGGGCTCTGTGCTGACAGCTCAGAGCCTGGAGCCTGTTTCGGATTCTGTGTCTCCCTCTCTCTGACCCTCCCCCGTTCATGCTCTGTCTCTCTCTGTCTCAAAAATAAATAAACATTAAATAAAAAATAAAAAAAAAAAAAAAAGAACTTTCTGTGAGAACTGAATGGCTTGTATATTCTTAAAACCATGTGACCTCTTTGGAGGACATGGCTCCCCACCTGAGCTACCAAAACCAACCAATCCACATGGCACAGCTGCCAGGATCATTTCTTTCCTTTCTTTTCTTCTTTTTATTCCTTCCTTCCTTCCTTCCTTCCTTCCTTCCTTCCTTCCTTCCTTCCTCCCTCCCTCCCTCCCTCCCTCCCTCCCTCCCTTCCTTTTGCAATAACTAAAGTCACTGAAGACTTTAAGGGAAAGGCAATTTATATAGATAAGCAGTAGCTTATCTATATAAGTAAGGGTGCTCCAGAGGAAGTGAAGCCAGGGCACCCAGGGTTATCTCTACCCTGTGTGTGTCTAGTTCATTCTTCTCTCTGCAGGCCAGATTCCATGGATATGTCCACATAATCATGACCACCATCTTGAGTTTAGTAAAGAGTAGTCCAGACTAAGTAGAGTCTCTGATTCCTAATTCCAAATTCCTGGGAGAGACATCTGTGGGGCTGGCTTGAGTCAAGTGGACACTCATGGCCTAACTAGTTACAGCCCAAGGAAGGACATTTAGATGGCTTTTCATTCTAAATTTTTTTTTTTAACGTTTATTTATTTTTGAGACAGAGAGAGACAGAGCATGAACGGGGGAGGGTCAGAGAGAGGGAGACACAGAATCTGAAACAGGCTCCAGGCTCTGAGCTGTCAGCACAGAGCCCGACGCAGGGCTCAAACTCACAAACTGTGAGATCGTGACCTGAGCCGAAGTCGGACGCTTAACTGACTGAGCCACCCAGGCGCCCCAGATGGCTTTTCATTCTAAAACAATGGGATGAACAGAGAGCAGACAGCTTCAAAACATGTGTCCCCAACAGTTATTCCCTTAGTATCTATAAATAATCTAAACTCTTCAGCTCTTGGATAAGGCCCTGTGTGACCACCATGGTCCCTCACTTTCAACTCCTACTACCCAGCCCATCTCATCTTAGGTCTAGCCACATTAGCCACTTGCGGTTTCCAAATACTCTGTTGTTTTCCAGTTCTGGGCTTTTATCAACACAGCTTCATCTTCCTGAACTGCCTTTCCCTGGTGTGTCTGCATGACAAATACCTACTCGCTTTTCAAGACTGAGCAAAGGTTGGGTACCTGGATGGCTCAGTCAGTTAAGCATCTGACTCGATTTCAGCTCAGGTCTTGATCTCACAGTTCATGAGATCAAACCCTGTGTCAGGCTGTGCATTGACAGTGTAGAGCCTGCCTGAGATTATTCTCTCTCTCCCTCTCTCTCTCTCAAAATAAAAAAAACATTTTAAAAATTAAAAAAAAAAAAAAAGACTCCGCAAAGGCAACATCTCCTTTAGGAAGGACAGCAGAGAGTTGACATCTTAGTGGCAGAGGGTGAGCTGATGACGATGTCAGCAGTACTCACGAGTTTGGTGATGCCCCCGTAGCGTCTCACTGCCTGTCGGGCTCTTCTAAACTTGGCAACATTTGCGATTGTCTCAGCTGCCAAACATTTCAGACTCTTATGTGGAGAATCAAGTGTATTAACCATAACTGGTAAGCCCCCAAGGTCAACAATATTACGTCTGATTTGAGGATTATGACTGATTTCCTTCAGGATTTTTAATGAACCAATCTAAATGAGAAAAAGTAGTTAGAGGTGAAAATAAGTGTTTAACCAGCACAGGTTTTTTAAAAATTCCAAGTCTACTTAAAATCCTTCCCCAGTGAAGTTTTTTAAAGAAATACTTTCTATTCCCGGGTGTTACACGCATGTTCCTTATTGTCCCTCAATTATGTAAACAAACATTCATCATTTAAGAAGCACATACTGATGGAAAGGAACCAGAAGATAAAGAAGAAAGGCAGAGATGCGAAGAGCAGCTAACAGTACAAGGAGCAAGTTATCAGTGATAATAGCAGACAAAGACAAGAAGTAGGCAGAAGTAGCAGGCACCTATTGGTAAAAAGAGAAGCACGAGAAGTTGTTTAGAAGGTTTGTCACCCATGTCAGGTAAGCCACTCACTTTACATTTGACTTCATCTGTATCAAGCAAATTTATTAAAACTTCAAGGCCTCCAACATCCCTGATTGCCAACTGGCAGGTCTCTTGCGCTAAGTTGAAATCCTTCATTGAACACAGTGCGATCACTGTAGCGGTCTGATTTCCTCCCTATGAAGACACAATGCCATAGAAAGGTTAAATAAGGTCATGCTTCCATGGAAATTTACTTAATGGTTATGAATCCATGAACTGGGAAATGTGTCTCCCCCTACACGGCACATTAAATTTTTTTAAGTTCTCTGAGTGGGTTATAATTTGTTAAATGAATCATGTAGAGCTGAAGCATGAAAAAGCTTTACAGAGTATCATAAAACATTATTCCAATTAAGAGTCAACATTTAAAGGTGGTCTGTCTGCTTTAAACAGCTATGACATTAGGCGGTATTAGTACATTAAATAGAGTCAAGGGGCAAGCCTTGAGAGATCGACTGAGGAATGTAAGTTTTATGTAGAGGTAATAGGCAGTCCCTATAAGTTCTTGAATAGAGTACTGTGCAATCCAAACTGTGCCTGAAAATTATTCTTACAGATGTATGTGGAACAGTCTGGAACAGTCTTTCTGGAGAAAGGGAAACCCTGTGGGAAGCAGTATAACAGTCATGCTGGGACCGCGGTAGGTCGGGGAAGGGCTGTGGGGTGGGGAGTGAGGAGGCAATTCCATTAAGAACTGGAGATGACTCAGTGGGTTGATGAAGGAGAAAAAAAGAAGCCTTCAGTATCATGGGCAAAATATTGGCCCAACGTAGAGAATCATGCAATCAACGTCTGCTTAGCTGATCACCAAATGTAAAGGGTAGTGGGGAACTGTTCCTTTAAGGTAAAACAATCTGGGATATTAAACAACAAAGTAATGATTGATCAGTGAAACAAACCTGCCAGGAAATTATCACCAGAATTCACTGCAGGAATTCTTAGGCAACGTCCACTGATCGTTAATGCTTTGAAAATCATCTGAAGGACACAACATAGTACCTATTACTTCTCCCACTATTAAGACTAGGAGGTAAATAAGAGTTCCAGTATAAGTGCTGAAATAGTTTGTAGGAGCAATATTTGTAACAGAGCAAATAACAAAAGCAATATTTCTAACAGAGGTAAGAATAGACATTTTTGTAAAGTGTGCTCATGAAAGATGGCTTTGGATCTCTACTTCAAAACATAGTACCAATGGCCTCAAATAAACCTTTCTTTCCTTTTTGAGGAAAGACACCTACAAATTATGTTTATTCTCATTTGCTAATTATTACTTTATATTGCTACATCTATTATATATAAATGTACAGAGATATAGTCTATACACTTAGCACAAAAATGGAAATTATATTCAAGCAGTCCAAACCCCTCCTTCTATCACATATGTAAAACCTCTTGTGAATTCAATAAAATGTATTACTTTTAAAATAAGAAGCTGAAATAGAACTATAAGAACTTAAGCATCCAAAAGATGGAAAGGTTGAGACTTCAGCCTTTCCTCTTACCCTTCCAGAAAACTCCCTCTACATCTCTAAAAATGTCATGAACCACTATCCTGTGTTGACATCACTGTCATTGTCTGCTTTTCATACTAATTTTCTTTCTGGGTAATCCAGGCTGTCCACTATATTCAAGATCAAGTTTACAATGACAAAAGCCTTCATTTTATTATTTACATTTAAAATAGTAAGTTTTGTTCTTACAGCTCCTAATGTCTTTTTCTTGATATCAAGAGAAATTTTAACACCGCCAATTTTCCTAAAGTTGGTTTGAAATATAAAGCAGTAAATCCTTATTCAGTTTTATAATCTCCCTTGTTTGGGGGCACAGGACACCCCCCCCACACATACACAAGCACTTAAAAACAGAAGCCAGGTATTTCATAAACCATAAAGAATAATCTAAATGCTAACCATAATTAAAGAAAATACTACAGAAAAAAAGCACTAAAAAAAAGAGACAGAAAGAGAGAGATAGAGGGAGAAAATTAATTTTAAAAGGCTCTTTTGGGGGCGCCTGGGTGGCGCAGTCGGTTAAGCATCCGACTTCAGCCAGGTCACGATCTCGCGGTCCATGAGTTCGAGCCCCGCGTCAGGCTCTGGGCTGATGGCTCGGAGCCTGGAGCCTGTTTCCGATTCTGTGTCTCCCTCTCTCTCTGCCCCTCCCCCGTTCATGCTCTGTCTCTCTCTGTCCCAAAAATGGATAAAAAACGTTGAAAAAAAAATTAAAAAAAAAAAAAAAGGCTCTTTTGTTGAATTTAAATGGTTAAAAAAGGAAAGCTCCCCTGGGATGGATACCTGAAGGAACAGAGCTGGGCTCCCACATTAAAAGTTTGCAAATGCAAACCAAGAGCTTCAGATAGAGTTCTTTAGGCAGTGGCTTCAGACCCCAAAATGGCTTGAAAGCAAGAAGACGTCAAACAGCATGTCATACCTCAGTCAAGCCAAGGGAGTCCACCCACACCCGTCAGACTCTGAAGGAGAAAGTGCCGTCCCAGCATTCTCAGTTGTGCGTGATCAAGGACCTTCTTTTTTTTTTTTTTTTTTTCCAACGTTTATTTATTTTTGGGAGAGAGAGAGACAGAGCATGAACGGGGGAGGGGCAGAGAGAGAGGGAGACACAGAATCGGAAACAGGCTCCAGGCTCTGAGCCATCAGCCCAGAGCCCGACGCGGGGCTCGAACTCATGGACCGCGAGATCGTGACCTGGCTGAAGTCGGACGCTTAACCGACTGCGCCACCCAGGCGCCCCGAGTGATCAAGGCCCTTCTTGACTGCTGTTCTTGCACTGTGTTTTCTTTGGTAGTATTTTCCTACTTATACATTCAGCACAATCATTGTTTCCTATGTCACTTCAAGGTTTCTTACTTTTTCTCTTCTAGATTATTCCTACCTTTTGTGCTTTATTTCATTATATACATTGTAACCAGTGACATAAAATTTTTAAAGGGCTGTGTCATTTCAGCAGATGCCCACAAAGGTAAGATGTTATATTTTTCTGAATTATCTCTAAGCCATTTGTGAAGCCAAAGGATGGAAAATTTACATTTATCATGAGGAAGTTAGATCCTTCTAGAAAAAAAAATTCTGTAAATCATCAGCTTTTTCTGAAAATCTGGAAACATATTCATAGGCTTGAGAGATTTTTTTTAGAACAGTTTTATATTAGGGAAAGTTAGTTTTTCCACATTTCAGGATTCAGTTCTACTCTTGTAGACCACACTCCCCAAAGGATTATAAATCTTTCAGAATGAATACCAGAGGAAAGGAGCCAAAATATTCAACATACAGAGCCGCAAATGTTAGCCAATTGCTATTCTTTAAATACCAGCTATGTCAAAGGATTTTCAAATGTTTGTTCTACTTTGACCAGATGCCATAAACATCTTACTAAGGAGAAGCAGTGCAAATATGCTTGTTTTTCAATTAAATCTCCCCGGAGAATGTAATTAGTTGCCAATACTTATTTTCACATTTTATCATGTATTTGCATTTGTAAAGTTTTAAGAGCTGGAGAAAACATAGTAAAATATTATTTTACTAGCTTCTGAAGGGTTTTGAAGAATGCTTCCAATAAGCTTTTCCACTTCTTAAATTAATGCAAGTCTTTTGCTGGTTGTCTTCCTGCCCCTGCTTCTCCTCAGACATCTCCAGGCTCAGTGTGCCTTCCGATACTTTGTGGCTCGTGTTCCTTTCTATGACCAGGAAGCATTTGTTCCTTGTTACAATCACGTTTCAAACAGGCAAAAGTTGAATGAATGTTGCTTTCCCTCATTTTTCTCAAAATTTCTTTTGGAAGGACAAGATCAATAGAGGACACGTTTCTAAATAATGTTTCTCATGGTTTTAAATAGAACTTTTGAAATAAAGTAGTATTACCTTATCTGGTCTATAGGGTAATATCTACCTCCAGCCCCCTTACTGCTGATAACAGAGAAAGAAACATTTACTGAGTTGAGATGAAGAATGTATTCGAGACTAGATTAGGGTGCAAGCTATCTCTGGTCATTTTTTTATTCTTGCATTCAAAAAATTTGCACACTTACTTTTCACCAAGTTCGAGGCCAGGCATTAGAGACATCCTAGTAAACAAAAACAGACATGGTCTTTGCCTCGTGGAGCTCATCAAATGTAGTAGAGAAGATTTTAATTTCTGAAGCCCATTCAAATAAACGAAAACTTGAAGAAGTGCTATGCAAACTTGCAGTCAAGGACTCTGACTGGGCGGGGACAACAGGGGAGGTTTCCCTGAGGAATGTATGTCTGGATTGAAGTGTGGACAGAGTGGGAGACCTTCCCTGGTAAAGGAGGAGGGAAGTGATGAAAGGCATGCCAGTCAGAGGAATCAGTATTTGCAAAGGTCGATGGAGAAGTGGAACATGGCCTAACGAAGGCCAGTGTGGCTGAGACCCAGAGAGTGGGTGGTAGATGGTCCAAGATGAGCTGAAAAACTAGGTGGGCAAAGGCACCTGCCGGACCCATAGGCCAGGCTGAATATTTTAATCATTACTCTAAGACTGATAGGAAATATTCAAGGGTTATTGTTTTAGGGAAGGCAGAGAGGACCAACATGAGCTGAGTACATTTTTAGATCATTCTGGCTGAAGAGGCCCCTGGCTAGACAGGGCAAGTGGGACACGTGGAGAGCAGCTCTCCAGAGAAGAGCTAACCAGGATGGAGAGCTCAAGGTGACTCATCATGTGTCATAAAGACTTCAAATAAATTGGCTCAGAAAAGGAGACTATAAAACTAGTAGACGAAACTCTGATGGGCTCCATGCTCACAGGGCCACCATCTGGAGCTTACTGTCCGAGTCCCACATGATGACCGGAAGAGAAGGCAGGCAGAGGCACAATCAGGAGTGGAGGCTCCTCTTCTGTTCCCCACTGTCTGCAATCAAGGGGCAGTGGATGAGACCCAGTGAGGTGACACAGCCATCACACGGCTATCCAGCTGGCTTTCAATGTTCTCGGCATTTTTGCCTCCGAACATGCTGCTCAGAGAGCAAGAAAAGTGAAGCTCTGCCAGTGACTGTTTATTAATGATGACAGAGGGCCTGGCATCCAGCACAGAGGTTGGCCTACATATACTCTCATCTCCCAGGCTCAGGAACGGAAAAACTCAATGCTCAAAGAG